CACATATGTAGTGTATATATAGGCATGCATATGTCTTTTTTGTACACCTAGCTCCAGGTCGAAACCTAGCTAACTTTGGCTGATCTAAGAATAATAAACAAGCTTGAACATGGTTATTCTTTTGATAGGAGACCAATCAGGAAATCCCAGGGCCATAAGTTAGATGGAAAGTTTTTTAATATTCTGGAATTTCCATCATCTTGGCAGGAACTCTACATGAATATGTCCATTAAGTCACCAGAAGTCCAAACTTCAAGGAGACTTTCATTTTACAATGGGGTAGGGTCCTCTGACACATCTAAGGAAGTTGGTTGGTTTAACGGATGTAGGGAAGGCTGTTGGGCACAACCGTTCTGCTCCTTAGGATAGTAGCATATCCAGGAGACTCAGAAGAAATGTCACAGGAGGAGCAAGATGAGACCCACTCAGCTGAGCAAGATCAAGGAAGCAAGAATTACAGAGACTTCAGTAAGGGATCTTTAATGTTTTGGGGTAAATACAGAATATTGGAAAAGGTAAGAGGAATTTCCCAGCTTCATTTATAATGAATTCATTAAGGCAGGATCTCTTTGAAATGCTTCTTCCCAGGTTTCTCTGCACATGGGTTAAGTTGCTGTTTATAAGATAAGCAGCCAATGGAGCCACATACTGTTTCTTGATTGTTTATGTCCACATTCTTTCCCATTCCTTTCCCAGCTTCTCCACAATCACTCACCCTCCAACATCTGCCACCTGAAGCCATTGCTTCATTCTATCTAGTCATTTTTGCTGCATTAGAGTAATACAACCACACCTTTTGAAACGTGGGAGAACCTAGAACCTAATCTTGGCTGATCTAAGAAAAAAAAAAGTACTTGATTGGAATTCAGTTAAACCAATAGCACTTCTGTTAGCTATGTTAACAAATTCTACAGGAAGAGAAACACCTACGCAGACAAGGAGGGCCGGAATTGGGGTGCAATGTTTGACATGGATCATGGCCAACAGACTCGGTAAGTGACCTTCTCGGGCACCAGAGAAACACAGCCTGAAAAGAAGAAGGAGAAAAACACTCCTAAGCCTGTTTTATTTTAGCCCATTTCAACAAACAGCACAGTTTTGCTTTCTTCTGGCTTGCGGAAGATACTGAAACTCAACAGGGAATATTTGACACTGGGAAAAGAAAAAGGTTCAATGTGCTACTTAAGAAGAGTAGCAAGTGACAAAATTAGATATTTCACACCTCCAGTGTTTTATTTTGGGGGACATTCTCTTCCCACATTCTGGTGCCTTCCAGGTGTGATGGATTTCAGCTTTGGATGTCCACCCCAATGTTTCATGGATAAAGTGGAAGAGGAGAACATAGATGTTGGTTTAATGCACTTTAAAACATTGGTAGAAGTTAGGAGGAGGAGAAAAATCAGTGCTTTCTAGATCATTCTTAATTATGTGATGATCTTACTCCAAGTTGTTGAATGTGACCTGGATCCCTTCTCCTCTTATCTTTACAACTCTCTGACACAACTTCTATCAAGATGCTCCCCAAAAGAGTGAATGGGATTTGAACATTCAAACATAAACATCTGTTAAAAACCCCAACGATGTCACATGATATGATTGACACCAATTACATAATCTGTGTAATTGGGCTATGGTATGATGTACATGACATCACTTAGAGTTGCTGTGGATGCCCATAAGATCAATATTCTGTCTGTTACACCAAGTGTTTTCAAAAGAAGTGGATCAAAACAAAATTAAAAGCCCATCTAATCAAACTAATCCAAGAGTTGCCTAGAAAATTTTGCTTTGAAAGTCATGAACCGTTCACCCAAACAGTACCACTTTCCTGCTCATGTTTTTTTTTAGATTTTTTATCCCACCTTTATTATTTTTATATACAACTCAAGGTGGCGAACATACCTAATACTCCTTCCTCCTCCTATTTTCTCCACAACACCTCTGTGAGGTGAGTTGGGTTGAGAGAGAGTGACTGGCCCAAGATCACCCAGCCAACTTTCATGCCTAAGGTGGGACTAGAACTCACGGTCTCCTGCTTTCTAGCCTGGTGCCTTCACCACTAGACCAGACATGTTAGCCCAATTACAGCCAACTGATAACATATATCATCTCTGATACTGATATATAGCTATCCTGATTATTAGCCGATGGCTGTCTTATCCTCCATAAATTTGTCAAATTTCTTTCTAACATGACTCAAAACTTTTGGCATCACCTTAGCACACCCAATCTTAGGTTCATGTTGTCCTAACTTCTCAACTGCATTTTTCCTCCGAGTTAGCTCCATGGAGACTACTTGGAATTTCAAAGTAGAACAGCAATTTGTACGGCCAACTGATAAATATATCGAGAGTGCCAACGACCCAAACTCTGGTCAGCACGAAACAGACCAGAACGTTCCAGTGAGGAAAGCAAAACGTTCTCCCCTCCCTCTTCCCAAAATAAAAAGTGTTCAGGAAAAATAAACAAATAAATCAATAAATCGTACTTTATCTAACCTTGAGGAGGTAAAAAGGTATCCATTTATTCCTCCAAATGTAGACAATGCCACAGACACTGGCATAACCCAGGAAAAATAGCCCAGTAACTTCTCACCAAATGTCTAAAGCAACAAAAGGCGGGGGGAAAATGAAGCATAAACTGCAACGCACCAAACAGAAAGCAAAACGATAATTTCAATGAATCCCAAACTCTGGTAAAGTCCCAGGCTATGTTGTACTTACTACCGCAACAGCATTGGAAGACAAGAGTTCTTGGGGTGACATGGCCGTGAAATAAGCAATATTGGTGAACGTGTATACAAAGGTCACCAGGGGAATGGAGATGAATATGGCGCGAGGTAGATTCCTAATTTCCAAAACAAAACAAATGAGGGGGGACTTGATCAGCATTGATACGAAAGGCCCAAGAAGCAAACCCCAACATGGACACAGAGTATGGTCAATGGGCAAATTAGGTGTAATGTGAACCAAACATATGCAATAGTAAGTTGCATGGAAGTTAGGCCAAATCACACCCACACATATGCAGGCAGAGAGAGGTGAACAGCCAGAGCATAGATTGGCATTCAAATATTCCCTTATCCCAATTTCGATCTCCCCTTTCTAATGCTGCTGTACCTCAATGGGTGACTAACCGTAGACCAAATCAATAAACATTTTACCATGGTTGACTGGATTCCCTAGAAGCCTGAAAATTGGGCAGTTTTGAGGTTCTAGTCTGATTAACTATAATGGAGATTGAAAACACAGATGTTGAACGTTGGCTAGAAGTCAGTAGGGGGCTGTTCTCAGCAGCAGGACTTCTGTGCCACCCCTTGCCCAACTATTCTTCCCAGCCTCCCGTCTTGTCTGTCTATACCCTCTTCTCCTATTGGTATCATCTCATCTTCTTTCCTCAAGCTGTAAGGAAACCCATCACTGGGATCCATGGAGCTGTAGGATAACAGTTTGGTCTTTCTCCAAACCCTGGCCAAAATACATAGAAATACTTGCCTGCGTGGATCAACCAGTTCTTCTGTCACATAATTTAGGAAATTCCACCCACTGAATGCAAAGGAACCTTGGAGAAAGGCTAGTGCCAAATGTCCCACTGATGGGGTCATCCAGAAGTTGAATGCATTGCTTGGTATTAATGCTTCATAGTTTCCTACAAGGAGAGCAGATGTTCAGTGAGGGAGTCGTCAGTTAACAGCAACACAATCATCTACTGTAGGGTGGAGTGTCAAAAAAAGTCAAGATGTCAGCTGACCCTGCATGACTGAAGTCCCATCCCTTTTTAACGTATGTCACATGAAAAAAGGGTGGGGCCCTCAAGATGCAGCTCCAGCTACCATCATGACTTTTTGATCCCCATCCCCCAGGACACATAATGCGTACTGAATAGTGAGGGAATGACCACAAGAAAAGGCAGCATTATTGTCATCTGGACGGAACCATTCTTAGCCTCTGCTTTCAAACATGGAACACTTTTGAATGCTTTTCTCACTGCTGCGGAAAAAAAAAACATCTGCAGAAGAATCACAAAAGGAGGCTGATAGCCCATGTTGGCTTGCTTTCTCCAGGGATGAAAAGTGCTATTCCCTGTTTCTAATCCCCCTTCGCTCTTTGTAGAGCAGGAGTCTCCGGAATCAGATCATTGAAAAAAAATACATTTTGCCAGAAAACAATACTGGCCCCTGTGGAAGAGTTCAATCCACCTTTTTAAATGAAACTTTCATGCCCCATGGCCTATTAAAACCTCTTGGAAATCCTAGTTGCATAATACCATGCTGCTTCTCGTCTTCCTTCCCTCCACCTCATTGTTACTCTCACTGAGCCAAATTAAACCCCAGTGATTTCATGGACAAATCCATGTTATCTGCAACATGTTGGCAACAATACAAAAGCGGGTCGCCTCTTTTGACTTCCCAGTCTAGCCGATCACCCTGGAATTTATGGTGAGTTCCCATTAAGCAACAATCTTTGGTCCAGCTTAGCGTTTCCAAGACCAGCTAAGATCAGGAAGGTGCTGTCATACCCCCAAAAAACGAATTTATCAAACTGTGACCTTATCCATCAAACAATTGCCTGTCCCTTTTCTAGGAATGAAGATAGAATGATCAGTGGGGGTTCACAAGTAGTCCTTGCTTAATGACCGTTCATTTAGCAACCATTGGAAGTTATGACAGCACTAAAAAAAGTGACTTATGACTGGTGCCCAAAGTCACGATCGTCACAGTGCCCCCACAGTCATGTGATCATGATCCGGGTCCTTGGCAACCAGCTCGCACTTAGGACGGTTGCAGCATCCCGGGATCATGTGATCGCCATTTGCAACTTTCCCAGCTGGCTTCTGGCAAGCAGAATCAATGGGAACTGCATGATTCACTTAACAACTGTGTGATTTGCTTAATGACCATGTGATTCACTTAATGACCTCAGTGATTTGCTTAACAACCACCACAAAAAAGGTGGTAAAATCAGGTCCAGTCACATGATGATTCACTTAACAACTGCATCACTTAGCGACTTAAATTCCAGTCCCAATTGTGGTCATTAAGCAAGGACTACCTGTACTGGGGACATAAACTGCTCCTAAACCTTGACTGCACCTGAAATTCACTGCCTAAGGTGGTCCATGGAGCCCACCTTGAAGCCTATCATAGATGCTTTCAAATATCACTCACTAGAAAAACAGCGGGATGTGAGAGTTTTCTAAAAAGTGCTGGATTTCATGCAGAATACCATTTAAACACTGGGGGTTTTGTATCAGTACCTTTAAAGATCTGCACAAAGCCCACAGTTATGATAAGACCCAAAGCCAAGAGTTTTCCTGCTGTAAAGATGTCCTGGATACGTGTGGCCCATCGAACGCTGGAGCTGTTCACCCAAGTCAACAGTGCTAGAGATCAGAAAGCACAGTTCAGTCCCCCACAGTGGAGAGTAAAACCTGGGGTGTCCGCAGGGGACAGTAAAAAATGTCAAGGTGGCAGCCACGACTCCGTGATTGAAGCCCTACCCCTTATTTACATGTTGCATGTAAAAAGGGGGTGCAGTTTTAGTCATAGTTGCCGCCTTGACTTTTGACTCCCTCTGCAAATACACCTCAGCAAAAATCACATCAACACGTAGGCTTACTATGTACTTCTAATTACGATCTTAACATGATCACAAATGTAAAGAAGGTTAGTTTTCATATCTTTCATGTGATTATGTTTTTCTCTTTCTTTTCCATGCAAGTCCTGTTTTGTTTCCCACAAGGGGTGCACCCAGTGACATCCCTATACAACCACAGTGAGCAGGGTCCAACGTCTTAACCTTTTGGGGAAGCTTGGGAGGTTGGATAAGGGGGAAAAGGGATATACTTAACCCATCTTAAGTATGGGTTAACCTTATGGACCCACCAGTCCAGTGCTCCAAAAGGGCCCAGCTACTCCAGGGATGCTCTGTACATTACAGAAGAGCAGCTACAATGTCTGCTTGAAGACTGCAGGTCACCCACCAGATGAGTAGAATAGCAGTCTGGAAAATGTTGTGATTCTATCATGAAGCGAGAGTCTTTCTGCCTCCGGTGGGTTGTTGGGAGAGGTGGTAAAATGCCCACCTTCTCTGCCCATCCAATACCATCCCCAACAGATTCCAGTTCAGTTCTGGAATGTCAGCCAGAGGTACCTACATAGTAAAAGGCTCCTATTTCAAGATTATTAAGTATATTAGTATATACTAATTAGTATATACAAGTATATTAAGTCCCCATTGCTGGGACTTAATACACAAGCAGGTGGAGGTGGTTTTTTTGCTTCCCCATTTCAGGTAGTGGCAGGGCTACTGACTGCCCGGAGCCCAGTCATGATCTTACAAGATAAAGAAGACCAATGGTAAATCAATACTTACATAAACACACCATGGAGAGAACTCGGGATGCTTTGTAGGGCGGGATGCAGTTAGGAAAGACTGGCTGTAGCACATAGTTTGAAAAAGTCAGCGCAATAACAGCCAGGCTGGTTGGGTACATGATAAGGACTGCACTCCATAGCAGCAGAAATCTGCAACCAACAGAAACAATCCAAGATCTCTCGTTGAGACTAGACTGCACTAGAAATCAAGCAAAGAAGGACCCAGAACTCCCCTTTATGGGAACACATTTCCTCATCAAAACTATAATCAACTTTGGGCATCTATGGGGGAGAGGTCAAGATGTGGTCACAACTACTCTATGTAATCAAAGCCCCAACCCATTTTTTAATAAGTTGCATTTCAATCATGCAGTTGCACGTGCCATATTGACTTTTTTGATCCCCCAGTGGACATCTATCCATGCAGTTTTCTTGGTGAAATAAAACAGTGGTTTACCATTGCCCTCTCCCACACATTATGAAATGATGTTTTTGCTGTTGTCACTAAAGCGATCATCCACCAGCATCTTCCTATATTGCTGCTGCCCAACAGGATGCCTGCTTGCTGTATCTGGGCAGTTGGGATGACCGTCATGCCTTGGTGACCCTGCTGGGAGTATATACTCTTAGCATACACTCGTGGTGTACACAGAATCAAACTAATGACATTAGGTACAGCAACCAGTCTTAGAATTGACAATGAAAATACTGATAGCAGTCAAGAAACATGCTATAGACTAGCACTTAGTAGGGTAGCAATGAAAGCTTTGGAAAAGATACTCAGATGCCATGATGTGTCTATACCTACAAAGATCAGAATGGTGCAGGCAATGATTTTCCCTGTGACACTCCATGGAAACAAAAGTTGGACTTTGAAGAACCAGGACAGAAAGAATATTGAGGCTTTTGAACTTTGGTGTTGGAGAACACTCATGAGAAGGATAGTCAAGGAAACAAATGGATCATTGAACAAATCAACCCAGAATTCTCACATGAGGCACAAATTACTATGGTTCAAATTATATTTTGGACACATTATGCAAAGAGCCAAGTCCCATGAGAAGTCCATAATGCTGGGGAAGGTGGAAAGAAAGAAGAGGACAACAAATAGCAAGGGGGATGGACTCCACTACAGTGGTGATGGGTACAATATTGGAAGGGTTAAAGGGCCAGATCAGGGACAGATCATCCTGGAGAAAGTCTGCCTGTATAGTCACTAGGAGTTAACAATGACTTGATGACCATAAACAATCAGTCAATCACACCACCTGGATGTCCCTATTTGCAGGACCAATTTATAGCCTCCCTTCTTAGCTTGTGCTAAGCCTCATTTGTTGGAATAAGCCACAAGGACTTTATTTATTTACTCCTTGCATAGGAACCTGTTCAGGACCCACACTGAGATAAGTCATAATTCATGGTTTACAAGCCACAGTAGCAGAGTTCACACTCCCTTAACATGTTGGCTTAGCATGATGCATGCAACAAGCTGATGTCTATAAATGGCCAAAACTGAAAATAAATAAATAAAAACAGGAACTGCAGTAAAATATTGCATTTATAGAGTGTTCCTCTTCAAAATTCCCACTCAGTCATGCCCCTCCCTTCTATTCCATCCATTCCCCCTTCAACCAGCCTTTCTTTTAGGATCTTCTGTACTTCTATAGGTCCCCTTCTTTCTGTGCTGTTTTGACTATGGATCAGCATTTCTCTCTGTACACCAAAAGTGGGAGGAGCTGTTGTGGTAAGGAACAACTGACTGAACCCTAAGAAGAGTTCTACCTTCTGCTGTCTTGGGCACAGGAATCTTACTCCAGAGGTAACTGGCACAGAAGATGACAATCCTCATGCCCAATGATTAATGGCACATCCTTTCCCATCAGAAGTGGAACTCTATGACGCAAACTATTGATCTAGAAAAGACTTCCAGCAGATTTTGGGTGTGCCTGCTGCTGCTACCCCATTCATGGATCGATTAATTGACTGATTGTATTTCTATCCCACCACAATCAAAAAGACGCTTGGTGGCTTACACAGAACAAATAGTACAATTTAAAACATCCATGGTACAGTACAACCTTACAAACCCAACGGCCATCAAGAGGAACAATAAAGCAAGTCTAGAGCAAATTTTGAGCCATTTGCAGAAATTTCTGATCCATTATATCTCCTATCACATGAATCCCATTCTTTTAAGGTCCCCCAGACTTCTTCTTTTTAATCCCCAAAATTGGGAACTTAAAACAATGTCCCTGCCCTTAAATTTGGAGTATTTTTATGGGCATCCAAGTCACCCTTCCCCAACTGGGTTAGCAGCCTTCCATCATCCCTTATCACCCTGACCAAACTTGCTGGAAAAGAGAGAGCCCAAATCCAACAATCTGAAGGACACCAGCTTGAGAAAGACCAGGTACTTGCTTGCCCCTCGGGGAAACTGTTTACTCTAAAACATTTCAGCCATCCTAAAAAAGCTCTGTTGAAAAAGGGACCGAGAGACGGAAGCAGGTAAAAATGGGGTGGGAAAGTCTCTCTGATCTCCTTCAAGGTTTAAAGTTTTTGACGGGATTTGTAATTTGTCAAAACTGGCCTCCCCCAACCAAAGCTATTATGCAATGCCTTCCTAGCTACTAATCTTCAGTCACCTTTATTTTAGAAAGACATTTTTTAAAAGAGGCCATTAAGGCCTGGTGGTTTCATCAAACAGCTATTAAGGATGCAAGTTAATTAACTGCAGAAAAAGCATGTATGGGCCAAGCATTAAGAAGACAGTTTTTTAAAAAATTATCCCTTTATTATTTTTTATGAATAACTCAAGGCGGCGAACATACCTAATACGCCTTCCTTCTCCTATTTTCCCTGCAACAACAACCCTATGAGGTGAGTTGGGCTGAGAGAGACTGGCCCAAAGTCACCCAGCTGGTTTTTCATGCCTAAGGCAGGATTAGAACTCACAGCCTCCTGGTTTCTAGCCTGGTGCCTTCACCACTAGACCAAACTGGCTCTTAGATTTGAAGGGAAAGGGGTAGAGGGGAGACTGATTCTCATTTGATTTCAGTCCACTGTCATTTCAGCAAGCTGCTGAAAAATAACAGGGCAGAACCTCTCGTTAGGAACCTGTCCTCAAAAGACATCAGGAAAGCATAATTTGTTATGACTGAGCACCAGGGTTTATCCAAGAAACAACTGGACTGGGGTGCCTGTGGGAGAGGTCAAAAAAGTCAAGATAGTGTTGCAACTGTACAATCAAAGCCCCACTCCCTTTTGTGTGTGCCACAATGCTCATAAAAGGAGCAGGGCTTTGACTGTGTTGCTGCTGCTGCTGCTGCTGCTGTTATTATTATTATTATTATTATTATTGTTGTTGTTTGTTGTTATTATTATTATTTTAAATTTATTGGCCACCCATCTCCAGTAGACTCTGCAGCAACCATCTTGGCCCCCTTTCCCTCTGCCGGTGGCTACTGTTGCAATTGGATCATTTCACCGGACAGGTTACATGTCAGATATTATTGATAAGAAATTCCTACATTTCCAATTCTTGCCATACTTGCACTCATAGTCACCTGGGATGTAGTCCCTTGTTAAATTATTCCTTCCATTGTACATTAAGAGAAAAAAAATCCTGCGTTTCGTTTTGGGAATTTGCTATCACAAGCTGTGAAGGTGAGAGCTACTAACTTAGGAGGCTGTTAAAAAAAAAAAAAAGATTAGACCATTTCAAGGAGGATAAATCTATCAACATTAGTGGAACTTCCATATTCAGACCCAGTAACCCATCAATAATAGATTCAGGGGATAGACCATGATGGAAGTTCTTCTCATTCATTATTTCCTTGAAGCTGGATTGAGTCTCCTAACATTAGCATAGTTGTCCCCAGGTCGGACATTTCCTGAGCTCAGTTACAAATCAAGTAGAAAGCTTTTTCCCTTTTATTAGTGCCCATGTCTCTTTGTACCACTTCTTTCGGGTTTTGAAAAGATAGTTTATAATGCTGCAGCGTTTGAAAACCTGAAAAGCCCATTTAACTAAGAGGAAATGCATGGGTACCCCAAGAGCAACTATAGTTCTCTTATAGCATTGCCGGCTCTCTCTGAAAACAGATTGGGTCTTGCATCGCAATAAAAATATGGCCCTGTAAAGAAAAGCATGGTTAAGGCATCTCCCGTTTGAGTTATGGTTGCCCCAAGGATGGAGTTAATACCTCCATAAACCTGAATTTTCAAATGCTGCAGATTTCAGCTTTTATATCTCCATTTATAACTCTTGATTTGGCCCCTTCCTTTGCTGCAATAAACATCGATTTCTAGGCAGGCCCGAGCGTTGGAATTTATCAGATGTTGAAGGAATGAAACCTTCCTTTTTGCTGCCTTTGTCATTTAATCTTGCAGCTTGCAAGCAACCTTCCCCAAAGGCAATCTGGCTTATTGTGCCCCTATAAATACAAGTCAGGGCCTGCTTATCTATCAGCACAGACCTGCCCTCCCCTCCTCCCCAAATCCAATCTGTATGCAGATGTTTTCTGCTTGTCTGCACAATACCAGCACTCCAAGTGTGCCTTAGCAATCTTGCACAGTCCATCAGATACCAAACCAATAAATGTGCTTGCCTTTACAAATGGGAAAAACTGTTGGGGATACTCCTGAACTGTGGGCCATATTAAGTTAGGTTTAAAGCCAGGGTCTGAAGAGCTGGACAGCCCTGGATCTCGACAGCTGGAGACCCTTGATAATGTATGACCTCTCAAGCATTGGATGGGGCTCCTCCAAGAGTCCTTCAAAAAGTTGCCATGAAATTGGAATTTAAGTTTGAAAGAAAAGGGGGATGGTTAAAATACCAGTGCCACCCCTTGCAGGTGCCTCTACTCAGAGTAAAGGCTCCCCAGATTCTTTGGCATATGAATCTTTTAAGAAAATCAACAGTGGATTCAGTGTAAGACACTGCAACTTATTTATTTCATTTCTACCTTGCCTTTTTTCCTGCAAAGATAAGGTAGAAGGTCTTCCCTAATTTTATTCCTATAGCAACAACCCTGTGAAGGAGGTTGTTCTGGGAGGAGATGTTTGAAGGAACCAGTGAGCTCCAAGGTCAAATGGGGACTCGAACTAGTCCTAGTTCAGTATGAGAACTACTGCACTGCATTGGCGTGTTGTTGCTCAGATCTGCTCTGTGGGAAGAATGAATGAAGTAAGATGCATGGCTGTGGTTTTAAACGCACACGACATCATCATTAAGCATCGTTTTCCTGAAGCCACACTTACCCAGCTAATCCACCGAAAATCTCATTGACGTAGGAATAATCACCTCCTGATTTAGGGATGGTAACTCCTAATTCAGCGTAACAGAGTGACCCAAGAGCTGAGATCCCACCTCCAAGTATCCATATTATGAGTGCGAGTCCCACTGACCCAGTATGCTCAAGAACTCCTTTTGGTGAAATAAAGATGCCAGAGCCAATAATATTACCTAAAAGAGACAAAAGGTGAAAAGCTATGGTTAATATTCACAGTCTGCAACAAGAGACAGGATCAAGTGGATCTTGACTGATCTTGAAAAAGCTAAGCCATACTTGGACAGAAGACCATCTTGGAAGAAGTCAATGACTTCTGTGCTGCTGCTGAGAAAACCATAACGGATGTGTCGCGTCATCATCTGCAATTGAGTTTGACACAAGGGAGACCTGACTTCTAATTTCACTTCCTCATAGGGCTCTGTGGGCCAAATTCACGTATAATGGCAGACCAGATTAGTTGAACAACCCAGAGTGGTACGTTCTACCCATCATGTATCAAAAGAAAATAAACCCATTATGGGCATATCTATCAAAATATATTATGTTCATTTCATTCTACTGCTGTTTCTGCTCCTGGTAATCATTTGTGCCAACAATAGACTTCTGAAACTTGGCAAGTGCGGGTGTCTTAGACTACCTCCATTATCCAAAGCCAGTAGACTATTCTGCTCATTTGCCTGCATACTCGGTGCAAGACCCCTCAATTATATGCATAGATGTGAGACTGAATTATTTCCCCTCCACTGTGTTTAGAGATGAAAATAGGATTATGCCAGATACATGTTCTTGTTTTTTACTTGGTGCAAGTAAAAAGCTAGTGCTTCCAAAGACCACTATTACTGCAGTTAACTATTTGCAGCAGAATAAACAAATATCATATGGGACTGCCAAGCCCCTCGCAATAAAACCTGCATCCATAAAACACAAAACTCAAATGTCTAAGAAATCCAAACCATTAAATTAATAATAAAAAAAAATAACTCAAAGCCCAGGAGCATCGTTATATAGAAGCAATTTAAGCCATTGTGAAGATGTCCCTTAGAAATGAGCTGAGTGTTAGCCCATTCTCTCAGTCAAAACCTCTTGAAAACCACTGGGTTTCCAAGTCCTGCTTAAAAACCAAAGCTAAGGGAATGAAACCTGTCCTCTTTGGGACCACCATGGAAAAGGCCCTATCTGTAGTGCCCATAAATGGATCTTGGGCAGTCTACAAAGAACAAGTTACAGCTCAAGTTCACAAAAATATAGGTGGCCCTTAAATGTGTATATTCTCTACATTGTTGTCTGTGAAGCACAATTGATGGCCATTGAAAATGACCACTGATGCTTTTTGAAGGGAAATCCCAGGTCAGCAATGAATAAAAAAATACTTATCGTAAGAAAATATTTCCCCTCTCCCCAAGAACAAAATGATGTACAATCAGAACTTCATTGTGTTTCTTCAAAAGCGTTCTAAAGAGAATTTGAATCTTGCAGCTAAATGACTATTTTGGCAAAGATTTTAGATCCAGCCAGGGAGAAGTCTAATTAACATTCAGAAGAACTTTCTCAAAGGAAGACGGTCATTCTGGTTGGAATGCTAAACTAGTCTGAGAAAACCTGACATTTCCAGAGCATAGGGCAAGCGCAGCAATGCGAAATAAATGGGATTCTGGAAAAACACACACACACACACACAAGAAAACAAGGGATGGACCAACAGGTTCGGATGTTTCTTTTCAAGGTCATGGGTTATGTAAGGAGATGCTAAGAAAGCATGAGACTTGGCTCACCCAAACAATGTTCTTTTAGTAAAAACATACTGTATTGAAGCTTGTGTAAAAAGTATGCAATCTCTTTTTCCAACTTTATTTGTAATGTGTATTTGTGGCTCCTGGGGTAGCAACTCCTCATTGTAGGAAAATGATCAGTTGATGACCACTCAACAGGAGAGAGTCAAATGGCAGAGATGGCAAGAAGATGAGCAGAAAAATTATAATAATTCTGAGCATTTGTATCGAAAACCTTTCATGCAAATTCCCTCACCTTCTAAAGAAATAGCACCACGTCAGAGGAATAAAGCATCTGTGACTGTTTTGAAGTGGCTGGGTCACACGGTTTTATTAACCAGGGTTGTTGAAGAAGCCACACTTGGTTTGTGTACTAAGCCATACATCATGGCTAGCCACAAACAAAGAAACTGTGTAATGACTTAGCAGGCTGCATGGCTGTATTACAATTAACATGTTAGTATTAGTCCCAGGAACACTGACTTGAGTAATGGAGCTTTTAAACAACAGCAAGGAAGATGAAGGAGACTCATATTCCATGTGAAAGTGAGAGATATATGAGGCTGAGTCTCCATCTTCTAAATAAGACAACTCTTGATTGATTGATTGATTGATTGATTGATTGATTATGTGCCATCAAGATGGTGTTGACTCTTAGCAACCACAAAACTTTTCTCCATGCCAGTCTCTTCCTAAATATAATTGTTAGGAAAATGGAATTGGAATCTTAGCTTTGTTATGGCTTGATATTGACAAACACTTGGTTGAAATAAGCTGCTGAGCTAGCATCCAAAACCATAGTTTAATTTGGGTCTGCAAACTATGGTTGTCCTAGGCCACTCTTTGGCATGACAAACCATAGGTCTATCTCTGATACTCAAAGGATTTGGGGCAGCTGGGAAATGAGCCAGACATTCTAAAACCTATTGCTTGTTCAGATGTTTAAACTAGAATTTAACTTTGTCTCCCATGCCTTAAAAGAAACATTCCCCACTGTTGATTTCAACAAAGTTAACAAAAAGAACCCCCAGAAATCTTTTCTTTGCCTAAAATACTTTGATAATATTCTCCAAAGTCAGGATGGGTGGGTATGGGTAGAATTGGCAAATACAGCAGTTGGGCATATTTGATCTTCAAGAATGCCCTTTTTGTTCCCAACAACTTGAGAACTTCAGCCACAAATCATTCCAGACCCAGTCATTCATGTGAAAACATGACCCCCTGTAACACTGCCAAGGTGAAGAAGACCTTAGGTGATCTCCCACAGAATGCCTAATTGTCCAATATGTTCACTTACAATAAATGCAGCATGGTTGAGGGAGTGATATTATATTAGGGAAAAGAGAACATATGTAACATGATTTTAGTGGTGCCTGTTTCACTGAATGAACATGGTTTCATTAAGACATTCTCAACTAGCAGCTTGAAATGATAGCCTCTGCCCTGGTGAATTTTGAAGCATTTTCATCACAGCATTTAAAATTTAACTAAGCCATATAATCCAGCCAAATGGCTTGTCTCTTCTGTCAGAAAAGCTTAACTGAGCACTTGCTAAATTTTGGGACACAAGACGATATTTGACAATAGAGAAGAGTAAGAGGGTAACCATTACGGAAATTCAACAATATTTAATATTTAATAAGTACATTGAAATCTGTGGCCTCCTATATGTTCCTGAATTCAAACTTGCAGTCTGGTCAATAGTGAGGGAAGCTATGAATTGCAGTGCAGTAAATCTGGTAGCCTGAATTTCCCTGTTTCTGCATCCATAAGCCTCTTTGGATAAATTGGTTCTGGTTGTCATGAGCCCCATCTTGACTCCACTTTGGTTCTGCTAATGTCCAATTTCCATGGCCTTCGAACACAAACAATTCCACACTTACACTCACAGCTGGGCTGGTTTCAAGGTATGAGGAGCATGCCATGACCAACATAGTGGTCTTTAATGTACCAACCCCAACAGCAACCATGAAGATTATCTGCAGGTCTGAGATAGCACCAAGTTAACACAAGTACAGAAAAGCTTTAGGGAGAACGTTAGGTGAGGTCTACAAGGGAGATTCTCCCAACCCACTCTGCTTTGCAACAAATCATTGCCCTTCCCCTGCTTGATTCTAAACCATGTGCCTCATCTTCTTGTTGACAATCAGCCAGGCTTTGGGCTGAATTCCTTGCCTATCTCTTATTCAGGAAGACCCTCAGCTTTTGGGTGCATAGGATTCCAGCCTTAAAAAGTCTTTTGCTTGGGCAGAGTAATGCCTACCATTCAACCACAGCCTCATTACATGTTTGATGAGAACCTGAGTTTAGGGAGAATCCCCCCAACCATAAATTATTATATAACAATCACTGAACATGTTACAGTTCAGTGCCCAAGGATCTAACTCAGTATTTCTCAAACTTTGCAACTTTACACATGTGGACTTCAACTCCCAGAATTCCACAGCCTGCTGGTTGGGGAATTCTGGGAGTTGAAGTCACTGTCTTAAAGTTACCAAGTTTGAGAAACATTGATCTAACTGATAACTGCCTTTGTCTGCTATAAGATCAAAGATTTTCTCACTTAATGGTAGCAAAAAAATTTGATGGTCCAAAGGAAGAATGGCTCTAACATCCAAATAGGGAAGATTAGGATACTAAGGGTCAAACTATATATGTCACTCAGTGGAATACAGTGAAAAGTACTAGGAATATTGTTAGAAGACAGAGATCTTTTCCTACTTTACCACAGTTAAACAAAGTTTAAAACTCTACCAAAGTCATTCCAGAGAAATTTTCAACCCCCCCCCCCCCAAGAATGAAAAGGAAAAAGATAAGTCTCTTTCACTGGCAGAAGAAATTATTCACGAAACTGGGGGTCAACCTGTGGCACACTTATTAGTTTAAAAGTGTAACTAGTACAGCTGTGCAAAGCATTTGAATGTAACACTTTGCAAAGTGGGTTAATATGAGTGACATAGTGCTTCTCAAAGTGTTAAAGCAGTTGTGTTCTTGGAAGACTCACACAGCTGTTTCAAAGACTATCTCCAGAAGTTTGCATGTGTGCAAAGCTGCTTTGCTTCCTGGTGATCCCAGTGAAGTGTTTTGTGTGCACACACACACATAGGGAACTGGGCACAACAGCTGCAGGAGCCTTCCAAAGAACACAGCTGCTTTAATGCTTGGAGGAGGGGAGCCTCACTCACACTAACATGCTTTGAAAGGAGTCCCCTTCAAAGGTTTTGCACAGCCCTAAAACTCTTTTGAATTTAGCAACCTGGAGTCCCCACTTGGTTTAGA